AAAAAAAAAAAAAAAACATGCTGAAAGCAGATGGACATAAAAAATACACTGATGTAGGATTCAATTTACATCAAATATTAAAATATGCAAAAATATCCTATGACAGAAACCAGGTGTGGCTTCTCTGGTGTTGCGAGGTGGTATCGACTGGGAAGGGACACATGTAAACTTCCTGGAAGGGTATGTTCTGTCTTTATGTGTCTAAGCATTTTTCAAGACTGATCAAACAGTACACTTCAAATCTATGCATTTCATCATAAATATACTTTTTTTTTTTAAAGTGCTACTTGTTATTCCTCAGGGAATAATTTAAACCACACACGTTCACCAGATGGCCAAACCTAAAAACACCAAGTACTGAGGAGGGCATGGAATAACCCAAATTCACACTGCTGGTCAGTAAAATATTACTATTTTGGAAAAAATGTCTGGCAATTTCTCACAAAACTATATACATCTACCCTATGATCCAGCAATTCCATGTTTTCATCTCTTAGTAATTACATATACACAAAGATTTGTATAAGAACATTAGCAACTTTATCCTTAATAGCCCAAAAGTAGAAAAGACCCAGGTTCCCATGAATAGCTAACTGTACTACACTCATACTCAGCAATAAAAAGGACTACTCATTTGTACATGGCTAAATCTGAAGAACTTTGCTGCACTAAAGACTTACATAGGCTCCATATGTTATGACACTTATTTGATGTTCTAGAAACAGGCAATCTGTGAAAATCAGGAAAAAAGGCATCTCTGAAGGATGAGCAGGAAATCACTTGGGAGGGGTCACATGGTAACTTCCTGGGGTGAGAGCGAAATTCTATCTTTACAGAGTACATGTACTTAATAGTTCATGGAATGATATACTTGAGGCTGGGCACGGTGGCTCATGCCTATAATCCTAGCAATCTAGGAGGCTGAGGAGGGAGGATCCCTGGAGCTCAGGAGTTCAAGACCAGCCTGAGCAAGAGCAAGAGCGTTTCTACTAAAAATAGAAAAATAAGCTGGGTGTGGTAGCACAGGCTTGTAGTCCCAGCTACTTGGGAGGCTGAAGCAGGAGCATCGCTTGAGCCAAGGAGTTTGAGGTTGCTGTGAGCTACGATGCCACTGCACTCTGTGGCAGGGAGACTGTCTCAAAAAAGTATTTGAACATTTCAGATTTAAATTTTACCTTAAGTCCATAAATACTGAGATCATTCATATGGAAGTTGAAAACATTTTTCAGGGAAGTATACTGATGTGTGCAACTTATAAAGAATTGATGGGATGTATAGATCGATGTTTTTCTGTGGGCCTGGAGCTATTTACAGAATACCTGTGGCTTTCTCTGCATTCTTAATGCTCAGCTGCATTCCTTTGTCATGTGATGAGTTCTGTTCAACTGGCTACATAACCCAACTGCAATCTCCTGTTTTAGGTGCAAATGAACACCAATTAGATGTATATAGGATAGAGGGTAGAGCAGCAAAACTGAAAATTGCAAACACAAAGTAACAGCACTGCTGAAGAACTTTGTCCAAAGTTTTTGGGATCCCCTGCCACAATTGAATTGTTATTGACCCGTTTTCCAAGAGTTAAGCAGGAAATATAAAAGTGCTACAGTAGATTCCTGGTATTTTAGCCTCTAGTTCTCAGGTATGATTGCTCCCGTTTAATTTTTAGAGTTATTAAATGAAATCATCTGAATTGCCCATGAAGCTCACTCCCCAAAAAAGGAGGCCTAGTCACAAGGAGCAGGTCACCTCAATGACTCTGGACATTCCCTCACAACTGACTGAGTGCCAGCAGTGCATCAGAGCAACTGTGCAGGGAGGGGAACACATGAAAAAACAAAGCCCTAAGAAATCACTGCCACAAAAAAGATTTTAAAGTTTTATTAAGTTTCAATACAAAACATTCCAAAAAGAAGTGATCTATAATACCTAAGTTCTATGTTCAACTACCAGTTAAACAAGGAAAACATTTCTGTATCATTCTGTTTCCTTTACAACCAGTATAAAGCCAGAAGAATCAAGAGCGATTCTTTTTCCACAAGCCTGCTAGGTAAATAAACTATTTGTCCAACAAGTACCTGGTCATTTAAGCATACTTCTTACTTTGAATTTGGAATTCAGATTTACTATTTAATCTCTATATTCTACACGATTTTAAGGCTAAACAAAATCTCAAGAGCCAAAATGTCCTCACAGAAGCATTAATCAAAGTAATTAGAGTATGAAAGGACTGAACTAAGACAGCTATGGAAGTGCAACAACTATATGAATTTGGTTAATACCCTCATGGTCTGTGATTAGAAAAGTCTGTCGAATGAGGGTTAAAATTTTTGGATCATTTTCCCCAACTGCAAATGTTAAACATGATAGTAGTGCCATAATTACACACACAAAAATCTCCTAAGTTGAGTTAGTTCCTCTAACCCAACAACTCAAATCTGTTTCCTTTGAGAACACTGGCAATTATACTATTGGCTCTCATCTCCAAGTAATAAAGTAAAGTTGTATCATAATTTGTTTCCAGGATTGAGAGGTGGGAGGGTAAAGTAGGCTTACAAAACAATACAGTACAACAAAGCCAAGTGGCCTAGTTTTGCCTCCAGTTTTAAGTGTGCTTTCTATCTTAGCAAGGTTTCTAGTTGTTACTTTTGTTTCCGGAAGTCACTCCCTCTTTTTTACAACTAAACCCTGTTTCTGGATAAACTATCACAAGATGTTTCACTTGCTGAAAATCAGACACTTTACTGGATAAGGAGTTACCACTTATGTCCATCATTTTTCCAATTCAAATTAAGTTCTAAATTGCAGAGTTGCCCCTATACTTTAGCTAAACAAAATGAAAGCCAAAGCTGTAAAATCTATGTGAAAAACCGCAAGAACTTCCTATCTTCACTTACCAATTTCCTTAACTGCTTCCCTTTCTCCATTTGGTCAATTACTTATTTTAAGTAACTACCACTCCCTGGTTAAGAGTGTTAACCAACACTGAGGCCCTCTTCAGATCCACAGGAACCCTTGAAGGCAAAATCTATTGCCTGCACCAAACCAAGTCTGACAGCACTGCTTATGCAACTGTTGTGACTTATCGACAAATCAGCATTCTTCTGCTTCAACAACTCTGTAAAATGAAAATCATGAGATCAGATTACAAGGTCTTTGGTTCTATAACTGCAAAGTACTCCCCCCACCTGTTCTTTAGATATACTTTATAATTTTAACTCACAACATAAGTATTTTCTTTAAAATTCGAGCTCTAGGCCAGGCACGGTGGCTCACGCCTGTAATCCTAGCACTCTGGGAGGCTGAGGTAGGCAGATCGTTTGAGCTCAGGAGTTCGAGACCAGCCTGAGCAAGAGTGAGACTCCGTCTCTACCAAAAATAGAAAGAAATTGGCCAAACAACTAAACACAGAAAAAATTAGCCGGGCATGGTGGCGCGTGCCTGTATTCCCAGCTACCTGGGAGGCTGAGGCAATAGGATCGCTTGAGCCCAGGAGTTTGAGGTTGCTGCGCGCTAGGCTGACGCCATGGCACTCTAGCCCAGGCAAGAGAGTGAGACTCTGTCTCAAAAAAAAAAAAAAATTCAAGCTCTAAAAAGCAACCATTAATACCTATTATAAGCATCAGCTTGCTACTATTAAAATTACATACTATACATGTCAAAATTAGGTTACTCAAACAGGGAACTTGCAGTCACAGCTACATCATTAACTCTCCACTTATAATTAATCTGTATTGTGGCTGGGCAAATGAGCAGGCACTGGTATGTTCTTTCATAAAATGCATGGGAAGAAGCTAAAACTTCCCAAGTTTGCTCAGATATCGTAATTGTGCAGCTCCTTTCAAGAGAACATTTGCGGCCAGGTGCAGTGCCTTGGCCTATAATCCTAGCACTCTAGGAGGCTGAGGAAGGAGGACTGCTTGAGCTCAGTTCAAGACCAGCCTAAGCAAGAGTGAGGCTCCAGCTCTACTAAAAATGGAAAAAAAAATTAGCCAGGCATGGTGGCACGTGCCTGTAGTCCCAGCTACTCGGGAGGCTGAGGCAGGAGGATCACATGAGCCCAGGAGTTTGAAGTTGCAGTGAGCTATGACGACACCACCGCACTCTAGCCAGGGTGACAGAAACTGTCTTAAAAAAAAAAAAATACTTGCATATGAACAGCGATTAACGAGTTTTACAGGCTCAAAAACAGCTAAGTATATTACATGAATGAGCCACTCTAACATGAAGTATCAGAAATAACTCACCAACATTACAGCTAGACAAAGTGGCAAAATTATAGTATTTCAATCTTCAAAGGCCACTGCGTTCAAAACTTACCTTAGCATTTGATTTCTCTTGCTGCCATCTTTATCTACCGTGAATAAATCAGCACTCCATGACTGTAATTCTCAACCTGCAAAAGTTAAATAGATGAAAACTAGTTATCTCTCTTAAGAAAATTCTTTACAACTTGCCTATAACTGCCCTCTTTTCCAGAAAGAAAAGGCAAGTTCAGACTTGCAGCTTAATATATTTCATGTTCTACTACTTCTCTTAAGTGGTGGAAGATTCACTGGCTTGGGATGGACTGGAATGGCTTAAATGGTTAAGTTGCATGGCTTATGGATTCTCATTCTGTTCCAATGGTGCACTGCCACGTTAAATCCATAAGTTGAACGGACAAAACTTATTTGAAGGAATAAGTGCAGTATAAGAATTTTTAGTTGGAGGTCTTCAAGTTTACTATATTCAAGAGCATCTTTTTCAACTTCATGGCTGGACCTGGGTCATGCTGCCTCAGGTTTTGCTTTTTAAAGACCACTTGCAATAGATTTTCTCCATACAGTGTAGTTTCATAGAACTAAAAACAAGTCAGGCATCCAACTAAATGTCAAGTTTGCAATGGCTTACAGGGGTAAAGAGGGGGACCCCAAACTTAAGCCATTTTCTATATTGACTAAAAGACTAATTGAAAAAAATGTTAAAACGTATGAAGCATGTTTAAAGGTCTTCATCAAAAATAGACTTAAAAAAATACCCCCTCCCAAGCCCCAGATTGCTATTGGATAACAACAGCTGTATTATTAAGGCCTTTAAGTGTCATACATGCTTAAAAAAAAAATCCAAGTGTTGAATTTGGAGGACTTCTAATATGCTATTGAACATTTGCTTTTCCAAAAGTTTTTTTTTTTTAATCTAGAAGGCATATTCCATTGCCATGAGGTACAGTATGTTTCACTGTACTATGAGGAAGGCTTAAGTGTTCAATTTCGTTAGACGGAAAAACTAGTTTGCTTTGCTTACCATCTTTGCTGTTTCACAGGCATTTGATGCTTTAAATCTGATGTGGAATGCTGATAGATTCACTTTTTAGAAGTCATAAGCCTTTAGGAAGTTGGAGATAACTTCATTGCTTATCTATTTTCTCCTTTGCAATCAAGCTGTTCCTTTAAAAGTGAGACACTACAGAGTTGCAAAAATTTGAAACAGTAAGAGCAAGCACCCTTTGCAGCTTCATGGTTGGTTTTGGCCAAACTTTTTATTTAGTATTCTGTAGTTGTTTAACACACACTTAAATGGTCTTACTGGGGGAGGGGAAAGGGGAGGTTCTTGCAGATTCCCAAGGAAATGTCAGAAAGGCAAAATATGGCCAGCATTATCCATTTGTTTTGGGTTTACTGGGTGAATAGCACTTTCCTTACATAGGCATTTGATCTCAGGTTTTTCATACTGAGAACATTTTGATTTCAGTTTGAAGACACCCTGAAATCCTAGAAGTAGCATACCCAACCACCCTCTAACAGCTAGTTTGTATAGGCAGAACGATTCATCTCTCCATTTTAGATGGCTAGATGTTTGTGGAAGATCTTAGAATTGCTTGCCTCATTTACTGGGAAAAATCG